TTGGCAGAAGATCGATGAGGAACAAACAGGAATGAAGAACAATCGGTACGAAAATGCACGAACAATGAAATCACAGAAGGCTGACTGACATTTGTAGAAGAAACAGTTAAAATTAAGACAATTGACTGTTATTTTGCATATTAACTGTTCACTGTATGGTTATCAGAATTTAGTTAGATCGTCTGTAATTTTGTGCTTCAATACATTCGATCGTCCCCACTTGTGTTCTTGTTTACTACATTAGTACAGTACATAAACGCATTATCCATACACACATATAATTGTACAACTATGGAAATGAAATCAGTATCCAAATCTAAATACTAGTTCAGTTTCATGCTCTGTTTCCATAGTTGATTACTTACTTACTTAAGCCCTGTTAAACCTAGTGAAGTATAGGACCCCCAACCAGCATTCTCAAATCCACTCTGTCCTGAGCCTTCTTTTCTAGTTCTGTCCAACGTTTCTTCATTCTTCTTATGTCTGTCTCCATTTCTCGGAGTAATGTGTTCATTGGTCTTCCTCTTCTCCTTTGACCTTCAGGATTCCATGTGAGGGTTTGGTTTGTGATACATTTGGCTGTTTTCCTCAATATGTTTCCTTTCCACTTCCAGCACTTCTTCCTGGTTTCTTCGAAACTATTTCCATAGAACAAATGGAGCATAACTTATCGTGTATCATTTTTACCTTTAACTATAAATTAGCTGACAACATTAGTTCATTCATTCATATTGAATATTGTACAGTATCTTCTTCTGTTTCCGTTATTTGTATTTGCTATGGTAGACAATCATAAAATTGGTCAATTTTTATGGAGAAACAGAAGAAGAAAAAAACACAAAAAAAAACGTATTTTAAAACGTTCATCAAATTACTAGGAAAAAGAAGGAGAACAAGAAAAAAAAAGGGGGATGGTTAAAATTTGTGTCAGAATTTTAAAAAAAAATTAAAAAAATGAAATTCTATGTAGCTACACTATGCGGCTTATGCTCCCCCCCACGAGGGGTAACAGACACAAGTAAGTAACTAAGTATGTAATTAAAACTTATCAAGTTATGGTTACTATGTCATATGATAAAGAATAATGGAAAATTGTCTGAGAAAAAGGAAACGAAAAAAAACAAAAAAGGAAGAAAGATGTTTCTATGTCAATTTCATAGAGAGATCTACTTGAAAGAATCATGTGACTCAAATTGTTTTTTCTTTTTTGTTTGTCATTTTATTATAGACGAATATTTACTCAGGGTTATATTTGAAAATTTCATCAATAATAACCTACTATAGGAGATGGATAGTGGCTATCGGTGGAATCTAGTATGACGCGTGTCTCGTCCTATTTGGGACTCGTCAGATGGATGTACTTGCATCTCACAGTTCATGTTCACTCTGGGACTCGAACCCAGTATCGTTCGCTTCAAACGCCACCGCGTTATTCATTCAGCTACTGAGTGCTGAAGTTTGAATTCACTTAGTATTGTTTGTTTGAATCTTAATATTGATGCTTAGGACTGAAACTGGTTAGTCTCTTAGGACAAAACGCGCGTCAAGCTGGATTCTACTGCTAGCCAATATCCATCTTTACTTATAATGCTTGTGAATTAAGGCAATATCGAGGTAATACGCACAGTATGTACATATGCCAATAAGAGACTGACCAGTTGCAGTTCTTAGCATCAATGTGAAGATTCAAACAAACAATACTAAGTGAATTCTACTATAGAAGAGAATAAATTAGCTTTCAATTGAAGAGGAAATACGGAAAAGACATTGAAATTAGATAGGATAGGATATTCATCGAGAAGATCATCAAACTGAATCATAAGGTAAGCTTTAATTTCGAATCCTGAAGAGAAATGGAAAAGTAGAAGGTCAAAGAACATAGTGAGTAGAGAAGTGGAATCAGACATGAAAAGAATGAATTGCAACTGTAGACAACTGGGAAGGATTTTCCAGGACAGTACTGGGTAGAGAATGCCATTGGGTGGTTTATGTTCCTCCATGGGGAGGTTGCACGAGTAAGTAAGCAAGTAATGTTAACTGTTACATAATGTATAAACGGTCTTATGAATAATGATAAGTTAGCTCACGTCGAGGAATTATCATTGAAGTAGTTTAGTGAGAGTTCATGAGTTATAGACTAACAAGAATAAGTAATCACTTCTTTTATGAATATGCTAAATTAACTTTATGGAGAATATTTGAGTGTTTAACTGTGAGCGTTTTTTGGAAGCTTCCAGTTGAAGATGAAATTAAGAAAAGACGTTGGAAGTGGATAGAACATCACTTGGAATTCTGAAGGGGCGAGGAAAAGAGTAAGACCATAGGACAAACTGCGCTGGGAATTGGAAGCATATATCAGTAGAATGAATAGTAAATGGAAAGGATTGACCAGAACAGAGTTGAATGAAGAATGCTTTTGTGTGACCTGTGTTCCTCAGGAGGTTTAACAGGCATAAGTAAGGAATTCAAAATCAATATTCAGTTTACAAGAAAATCGATGTACATACAATTCAATAGTCAATATGGTAGAAAACAAACAATCAAAACTTTCAGAGATCAATGGGGCGAAACAATTAACGGAAATACATGAATATTTCAGTAGGTAGATTTGCAGTAAGGGGATTTGTGGACATTGTAGTATTTTACCAAGGCGATCTAAGCTAGACCACTATTAAAAACCTGAAAGCACCGGATGATCATTTCGTTCTAGTGTAGTCTAGCTTAGGTCGACTCGTGAATTCAACTGTTATTATTATTATCAGTATAAGAGGACTTCAGGAAAGGGAACAGTTCTCACAGTTTAAACCACGAACTTATGACCATTAAAAACTTGGAAGAACTCGATAACCGTTTCATTCTATTATGAGACTCCTTCGCAATGAAGAAGATTAAAGATCGTGAGTCTCGCATCCAAACGTTTAACCCCAGGAGGAGGCATCCAACGATGTTAACGTCTAAATTTATTCAATCCAGTTCTTCTAGGCTCTCACTTGTAGTCACTTGGGGTCGTTGAAGATTGGCTGAATTTCATTGAAATCATGAACTACCATTAAAACCTAAAATCACTTAATGGCCATTTCATTTTAGTATGGAACGCTTCAGTAGTGTAATTCTTCCAGATTTCCAATAGTGGTATAACTTAGGTTGGTTCATGATTTTAATGTAAAAACGGAAAGCATTTTGTATCTCTATTTATTGTTTTGCTAAACAGAAAATCATTTTGATATCTGCAGTTGAATTGTGAAACAGATTGAAGTTCAACATTTTTGATTAATTTTGATAGTTTAGATCATGAATCAATTGATGCTAGACTAACATGGGAAAACCTGGAAGCACTTGACGGCCGTTTCGTCCTAGTGAGGGACTCCTCAGTGACAGAGCGCATCCACGATCCCGCCTCTCGTGATTCGAACCCAGAACCTGTCAGTCTCGCGCGCGAGCGCTTAACCTCGAGACCAGTGAGCCGGTTGGTATTCAGCGGTGTTAATGTCTAACTTCATGTAATCCACGAAACTGAGCGGCATATCCATCATTGTCTTCAATGAGTTACTATCTCACAACAGACCTGGTTGAACTCCATTGGTCACTGCTTCTCACTAGAACTCCAGGAAATACCTCATGGAGCCAGTCACTAGTGAGCATATGTTGACTATTATCAGATTTGTTATGTAAACTATCTAAATTCATTTTTAAGTCGGAATATTTTAATTTCTAATGGAAAAAAGAATCTAATAACTAAGTTTTTAATGACTAGAATTCAAGTTCAATAAGTCCTAGATTATTCCTCGTTACGAGCTAACATCTAATGAAATACGTCTGAAATACAGTTGTCTCCTTTTACTCCAAGACATTTTACCAATATCCTACAATAAGTACAAATTGGCTTCAAGTCAAAATGATCAGTCATGTTATCATATAATTGAAATAGAATGTTACATATTCTAAACTTCACATAACTATTGATATCTAATCTAATTAATAGTATCTATTGTACTGTAGTGTCGGTTATTATGTTAAACTCATATGTTTTATTTTAACTTCTGGACAAGTCAATTCACCTATCCATCATCAGTCCCGTTTTCACCTTGTTGATTATTCACTTATTAACCCTGACTATTTTTTATATGAACGTAGGTATGTGTACACTTCTTATCCTACTTATCACTTATTGGTCATTTATTTTTATCTGACTATTGATAAACGCTTGATTAGAGCAAGTTGGCTTAACTGCCATCTCCAATGAGTGTCATTTTTTACTTTGCTCGCTGATATTTGCCCATGTGTTTATAACTTTCTGGTCTGCGTTATTTTATAATAAACTGTAACTGCCGCTTCTTTTTGCCATCTGATTTTATCCACCGTTAAGATGTGTATTATAACGGTTATCGTGGTGAACGATTAACGAAAGATGGCACTACATTACTAACTGACGTGACATAACTTCTTAGTAAAACCTTAGATTAAACTCAAGAAACTATAAAACTATTCAACATATCTACAATCTATAAATTACACAAGGATTTTAAAAAAATATATAAGTCGATCTTCATAGTTGAAATCATGAATTAATTGAAGCTAGACCATCATGGAAAACCTGGAAGCACTGGATGGCCGTTTCGTCCTATTATGGAACTACTCAGTGGTAGTGCGCATCCATGAACCCGCACTCGCGAGATTCGAACTCAGGATCTACCATTCTCGCTCCAGAGCACTTAACCGATAGACCACTGAGCTGGCATCCAACAGTGCTAATGTCTAACTTCAACCAATCCACGAGTGCAGGATCATGGATGAGCAATAGGTTTTCCATGGTGGTCTAGCTTCAATTGACTCATGATTTCAACCATGAAAATACTAAAATATTCACGAAAACCCCTTCTGATCTATAAATCAATGTGTTGAAGTCATAAAATTACATACACACGCATACACACACTAGCACACTAGCAACCATACATAATTACGTAATAACAACAACAATAACAACATCAACAACTCACCTTTTCTATCAATCCATTTGTTATAGATATATAAATTCTATAGTTATATCCTTATAGTTTGTTTCTTTTAACGTTTCATATTATCTTATCTTGTTTATTCTCTTTTCGTTGCTAATTTGTAATAGAGTTTGTTTATATAATCAAAATTACATAATGAATTTTAGATAATTAATCAATATATATCATGTTATGTAATGATTCAATGTTGACATGACAGAAATCAGTGTCGGGAAGAAAGCGTAAACAGGTTATCTTTAAGATTACCTCATTACAGAGGTGGCTAGTACTGCCTTTATATGTATATATATAGTCTTTGTACTGCCAGCACAATGCTTAAAGTTGATTGGTTAATTAATTTACGTGGATAAACCTTATTCTCAATTCTAATTGGTTAATTGTTTCAAGCCAATCAGAATTAAAGAATAATTAATACATTAAATTGGCTTAGTATTGCTCGTTCGAATATTCCAATTGATGTTTTTAGGACTGCAACTGGTCAGTCTCTAATTGGCATATGTGCATACTGTGCGTATTGCCTCAATATAGCCTAAATTCATAAGCATGGTAGACAAATATGGATAATGACTAGCAAGGGGATCCGGTTTGACGAGCGTTTCGTCCTAACATCAACTCGGAGATGTAGGTACATCCAGCTGACGAGTCTCAAATAGGACGAAATGCGCGTCCTGGATTCTCCTGCTAGCCACTATCCATATTTGCCTAATACATTAAATGTTGAAAATAATATGTTTATTATAATCTTACTGACTATATATATACATATATTTGTGATGAAAATGATGAAGAGTCTGTTAACATCATCTGGAAATTTAGAAAATTTATTTCATTTATGAAATCATTTAGGGATTTCTTAAGTCGTATTAAGCCATTTTTGTATTGGTTGTCTGAATATTTACTTTGATGTTTAAGACTGCGTTTGAAACGAACGGTACTGGGTTCGAGTCCCCGATTGTACATCAATTCTGGATTACTGGTTAATTCAGCTGATGAGTCCTGAATTGAATGAAACACTTGTCCTAGATTCGAATGTTAGTTTGACACACACTATTGCCAAGTTGAAATCAAAACAAGGGGATTGAGAAAGTAACGGTTTTTCATTTCATTATAAATACTAATGTACATTATTACCTAAACAGATATTACCCTTCAGCTATTCCACCAATAGTTGTTCCCTCAATAATTGATCAAGATTACAATAAATACAAAAAGTGATAAAGAATGTAAGAAAATTATCAAGCGCACCAAAAAATAAATGTGATTCTATCCTTTCTGGAAGTGGATCGGACATACATTGAGGAAATCACCAATGTGCATCACGACTCAATCCCTAACTTGGAATCCGAAAAGGAAGCGAAAAAGAAGAAGGCCAAATAACACATTACGCCCGGAAATAGAAGCAGATATGAAAAGGATGAATAGCAACTGGAAAGAACTGGAAAGGAAGACTCATGACAGAGTTGGATGGAGAATGCTGGTGAGCGGCCTATACTCCTCGACGAGGGGCGACTGGCGTAAGTAAGTAAGTATCCTTTCTGAATAGATCAACTAAAAATCCGTTCAAAGGATAATAATTTGTTCCTTCATAACACAAAGTGTTTCCGATTCTGAAAAAGTGTTTCAATTCACAATCAAAATGCAAAATCCCAGTTAACTTAAGCACGACAACCAAATTTGGAACAATCAATATGACTGACGCCAAGATTAAATATAAAATAAAACAATATAAATGCAGTTCCGGAAGAAACATAAAGGCGAAATGAAGGCGAAAGAAAAATGAGAAAACTATTATAAAATGAAATAATCTTTTCTCAAATGGTATCAAGAAGGACAAACAAAATATACAACTAAAGAAACCAGTCAGAACAAATTTCAAATGTATGCATAGAGGGATTTTCACACACAAAACCTTCAAAATGGATCTTACAAACTTAGTCAAATAAATTCACTTAGTATTGTTTGTTTGAATTTCCCTATTGATGCTTAGGACTGCTATTGGTCAATGAATAACGCGATGAACTTTGAAGCGAAAGGTACTGTGTTCGAGTCCCAGAGTGAGCATCAACAAGTCTGAGAGCAGGTACATCCGGCTGAGGAGTCCCAAATAGAATGAAACGCTCGTCCTGTATTCCACTGCTAGCCACTATCCATCTTTGCTTACAATAGTCCAATAAATTTCAATTTATTTGCTTACTTAATGTTGTGTAATAAAATGATGATCAATTAAATTACTGAAAACATATTATGTCTTTACTCTCAATTTTGTCAAATAAGTTCGAATATAGAAACAACAGTCATTGTTTCTTTCAACTTACTATATGTGTTACAGTGCATATTGATACACTATTGAGCAATAATATGTGTTTCTACAACGCTGCACACTTGATGAGGAAGCCCTGAGACAGGTGGAGAATTTCACATACCTAGAAATCATCATCGATGAACAAGAAGAATTCGAAGTAGGCGTAGGTTCAAGAATTGGCGAAGTAAAGACAGCATTCCTACAATTGAAGAACATATGGAACACAAAACAACTGTCTGTCAACCGATTTCAAAGTCACAATCTTCAATACGAATGTCATGACAGTTCAACTGTATGGAGCTTAAACTCAGAGAACTACCACAGCCATCATCAAAAATGTACAAGTATTTATAAACAGTTTCCTACACAAGATACTGGATGTTTGTATGTCGGATATTGTCAGCAACAATCTACTGTGGGAGAGAACACTGATGAAATCATCAAACCATATATCAAGTCAATCAATAATTTGCGATCCCGCAGGAAAACAGAAATATCATCCAGAAGATACAGGTATTTATTAACAGTTGTCTACGCAAGATAATTCGGATCCATTGGCCAGACACTGTCAGCAACAACCTACTTTGGTAGAGAACAAACCAGATTTCAGTGGAGGAAGAAATCAGGAAGAAGTGCTGAAAGTGGATAGAACACATTGACGAAGGCAGATAACTGTGTCACAAGGCAAGCCCTTACATGGAATCCTTAAGGCCAAAGGAGGGAAGGAAGACCAAAGAATACATTACACTGAGAAATGGATACAGACATGAGAAGAATGAATAAAAATTGGATAGAACTAGAAAAGAAGACCCAGGACAGAGTGGGTTGGAGGATGCTTGTTTTGGGCCTATGCTTCTATACGAGGTTTACTGTGGCTTAAGTAAATAAGTCCAGACGATCCTCAGAGAATACAGATATGTACTAATAAGAATTGGTCGAAATTCAATGTATATTGTGGATAAAGAAATAATTTGTGGATTACGTTTGACAGAGACAAAAGTTATCATCCAGAAGATATAATTGTTTATTAACAGTTGTGTACGCACATATGATTTCGAGATGGTGGGGAAGATTTGTATCTCAGGTAGATGATTTTGATCACCAATATTGATACTTGTCGTAGAAGCAGTAATGTAGAGACTAGAAACCGCGATCTTACCAGTGATAAAGCCAAAAATTTGAATTCGTTATGTAGACGACACATTCGTTTTCGTCAAAAAGGATAAACTAGAAAGCACCTATAGGCTGATAAACATTGTCTTCAATGACATCGAGTTCACCATAGAACAAGAGTCGAAAGACAAGTTATCATTCTTGGATATATTAATCGCCAGAACCGACACAGGTAAACTGGAAACTGAAGTGTACAGGAAGCCGACCTACACTGATCAAATTCTCAACTACAATAGCAACAATCCAAGAGCATACAAAATCAACTATGTGCAAACTTTGTTCAAGGGGGGCGAGGACACACTGCAACACAATTACAGCATGTAAAAATGAAGAAAAGTACTGGAAAACCATCCTTCAAAAGAATAGTTACTCAACTTCATCAAAAAATACCAGCCGTACTCATCAGCAGAAACAAAGTCAAGTACAGAAATCAACGAAAGGATTACCCTAACATACATAAAAGATATATCAGAAACGATAACTTGACAGCTGAAAACTTTCGGAATAGGTGTTGCTCATAATTCAAAGGATGAAATGACAAAAGAAGATAAGGCAAACATCATCTACAAAATAAATCGTGACAACTGCGAAAAACACAACATCGAACAAAGGGGACGGTGGCCTATGCTCCATTTGGAGTAACAGGAGTAAGTAAGGAAGGAAAACAGAAAAGTGGAATACCAAAGAACAAACAGCATCGAAAATTCTAAGCAGACATGTTAAGAATAAATAGCAACTGGAAAGAATTGAAAACGATTGTTCAGGAAGGGGTTGGATGCACAATGCTGGTGAACATTCTATACTCCTCTACGACGAATTAAACCAATCTCTATAAAGTTATTTCAACTGCAAATATCTACATTCACTTATATTCCATTCGCCCATTTTTCTTTTTACTATAACTAATAGTATAACTATCGTTATTATCATATTAGCTTATACATATATACCTATTCACTTCTATTTGTTTACCCTCTAGAGAATAAACATTAGTTTTATTACAATAATAAAAGATCTAAGTGAATCATAGAAGTAAATGAGAATCATTTAGTGGAATGAACAAAACGTTATAGACAGACAATTGAATAAACTAGGCAATCATACTTACTTACTTATTTACTCACTCACTCACGCCTGTTATCCTCCTCGTGGAGGAGCATAGGCCGCATACCGATTTTCTTCACCCCAACCCCTATCCTGCACAGACAAGTAAATAGTGAACTGATTACATTCATATAAAAATAAACATTTGTAAAGATGAATTATACAAATTTTAGTGTAGATTATGATTTCAATAATTAGGTCAAGGTCTTTAATTACCTATGACATGCATCTAGCACTTTAAATAAAGATAAGGATAAGGATAGAAGATGATGATGATGATGATGATGATGATGATGATGATGATGATGATGATGATGATGATGATGATGATGATGATGATGATGATGATGATGATGATGATGATGATGATGATGATGATGATGATGATGATGATGATGATGATGATGATGATGATGATGATGATGTTGAATATGACATATTAGTAAGAACAGTAATACTGATAGCCTGAAGGTTGAATGAGTTGAACTGAAAATAAACTTGACATACTTGTGGTTAGTAACTAGATAATTAGAAGACAACGTTTGTAAATAAATTTTATATATTAGATTCACACCGGTATTGTTTTGATTGAATCTTCTCATTGATAAGCAAAGATGGATAGTCGTTAGAAGTGGAATTCAGGACGAGCGTTTCGTCCTATTTGGGACTCGTCAGCTGGATGTACCTGCATCTCAGTGAACATTCAAACAAACAATACTAAATGAATTTAAACTTCACCCCATTGCACAAGCAAGTGATCATCAGGACTCAGTAGCTGTGTGAATAACGCGATGGCGTTTGAAGAGAATGATACTTTTTTCTAGTCCCACAGTGAATTCTGAGATGCAGATAAATCCATCTGATGAGTCCCAAATAGATCGAAACGCGATTCCTGGATTCCACTGCTATCTACCATTCGTCTTTGTTTATATAGCTTGTGAATTAAGGCTATATCGAGACAATACGCACAGTATGCACATATTCCAATTAGAGACTAACCAGTTGCAGTCCTAAACATCAATGGGAAGATTCAAAAAAACAATGCTAAGTTGAATCTGCTCATTGATATTTTAAGACTGTAATTGATGAGCCTTCTATTGGTAATGATGAACTTGTAGATTTACACTATTGAAGAGTCACATACTAGGGCGAAACAACTGTTCAGAACATATATATATATATATATATATATATATATATATATATATATATATATATATATATATATATATATATATATATATATATATATATATAAAACAAACGCTCATCATACACGTAATATGGTGAGGGTTACTTATATCCATACAAGTAGTATATGATGAGGGTCAATCTTAAAATGTATTTTGGCAGAAGATCGATAAGGAAAGAATAAGAACGAAGCGCAATCGGTATAAAAATGCATGAACAATCAGATGAGAGAAGATGGAATGTTATTTGCAGGAGGAACAGTCAAGATTAAGACAATTATAAAGGGTTTTGTGGAGATTTCAATATTTTTCATTGTTTAAATCATGAGTCAATTGAAGCTAGCCCAGTGAAGTTCAACCACGTCTGTTGTGACATAAGAACTCACTGAAGACGATTGGTGAACGGTTGCTCAAACTCCGTGGATTGGTTGAAGTTAGACATTAACACCGTTGAATGACGGCCAGCTCAGTGGTTTAGATGTTAAGTGCTTTGGCACGAGACTGATAGGTCCTGGGTTCGAATCTCGCGACTCAGCGTCGTGGATGCGCACTACCACTGAAGAGTCCTACAATAGGACGAAATGGTCATCCAGTGTTTCCAGGTTTTCCATGGTGATCTAGCTTCAACTGACTCATGATCTCAACTATATAAAATTTTACTATATTTGTTATTTATACAAGTTAAATATGAAATACCTATTCACTAACTACTAATCCCTTTGATATATATTATGACCGATACTATGTTGCTCATCTTTTTCTGTTTTCAAATGAATAGGTCAGTAAAACATTATCACCATACTACTACTACCACTACTACTAATACTACTCATACTACTACTAATACTACCACTACCACTACTACTGATTATGATAATAATAGTAATATAAGTAATAACAACTACATCACCATAATGATAATTTACTGTGTGTGTGTGTGCATGTGCAGATGATACGGTGAATATGTTCCATATTGTGTTCTTTACCCCTCCATAATTCAATTTATTTATTGTGCATGTGTGTGTGTATGTATGTATGTGTGTGTTTCTATTTTATAAAAAGTCCCAATTTAGAAACCTTAAAAAAAAAGAAAAAATTGAGTTTCCATGTAAATTTTAGGTCAAAAATTTGGTAATGAGCTATGAGTTTCCTTTATCTAAGCTACAAAATCTTCTTCATTATCTTCAATATGTATCTATTACATTATATTGATAAAGAAAAGAAGCTAGAAAAAAGAAAAAAGAGAAAAAGAAAAGAAAGAAAACAGAAAAAAAGAAGAAAATTGAATGAAATAAATGAATAAATAATAGGATCATAGAATTGAATTTATTCATTTATGATTCTTATTCAATGAACTAAACAATAGTAGGTTCTATAGAGTTAAGATCAATTGAAGCTAGACCACTATGGAAAACCTGGAAGCACTGGATGACCGTTTTGTCCTATTATGGGAATCCTCAGTGGCAGTGTGCATCTACGATACCGCACTCGCGAGATTCGAACCCAGGACCTATCAGTCCCGTGCCAGATCACTTAATCGATAGACCAATGAGCCGTTATCCAATGGTGTTAATGTCTAGCTTCAACTGATTCACGAAATAGTAGATTCAATTGAATCATTTTGATAATCTAGTATAAAATTGTCTGGATACTATCATCAAAGCATTTTATGGGAGAAGACAAACCAGCTTCCAGCTGAAAAAGAAATTAGGAAAAGACGTTGGAAGTGGATAGGACATATATTGAGGAAATTTCTAAACTGCATTACAGGGCAATCCCTTATTTGAAATTCGGAAGGCAAGTAGAAAAGAGGAAGGCCAAATAACACATTACGTTGGGAAATAAAAGCAGATATGAAAAGGATGAATATTAACTGGAAAGGATGGCCCAGGACAGGGTTGGATGGAAATTGTGACAAGATTTAATTATGATGAAAAGAAGATAGGTAATATACTTGTAACGTGATTAAAGTTAGTTGATAGAAAACTTTACTCAATTTAGGTTTCATATTATTTAGCACTATTCAATAGGTTTTATTTACATTCTTTTGATGAGCTAATACTTCTCAGATGGATTCGAACTTAGGTTAATAGATTTTATCTACTAGTGAGCGGCTACTTATTCCTATAGAAAAAAAAGGATAGATAATATGATGGGATAGAAAGGGAAAATTACATTGTTTTACACATTGTGATTCTCATTCAACATTATTTCTGTTTTCTTAATTCAATATGGTGGCTATTCAGTGTTGTATTTGCCTTTACTTTCTAATATGATGTTTTATTCGGTATAACATGAATTGATTTGTGTGTGATGTTTGTTGAAGATACGATATTCTTTGTATTAAATGATTGTGAACTGTGCCCAGTATGACATGTCACATATGATTTGTTATAACTCTGAGTATTTGTCATTAATGTCATTTCATCCTAATTTTTTAGCATAATGGGTGTAGTACAGTATAAGCAAAGATGAATGGTAGCTAGCAGTGAAGCTCATAACGCATGTTTCGTCCCATTTGAGACTCATCAGCTAGGTATACTTGCGTTCCAGAGTTGATGTTCACTCAGTAGCTAAGTGGATAACGCAATGACGTTTGAAGTGAACGATATCGGGTTCGAGTCTCAGAATGAACACCAACTGTGAGATATAGGTTCATCTAGGTGATGAGTCCCGAATAGGATAAAAAACGTTTCCTTGATTCCACTGCTACCCACTATCTATCTTTACTTATAATACTTGTGGCTTAAGACAATATCGAGGCAATCCGTACAGGATGTATATACAATAACAAGAAACTGATTAATTATCGTCCTAAACAACAATAGTAATGAACTAGAATACGAATAGGAACAATCGAATGTATTTTAGCCCAAAATTAAAAAAATATATCTCAGTAAAATATGATAACCATATTACTTACTTACTTACTTACTTTACTTACTTACTTACTTACTTACTTACTTACGCCTGTTACTCCTCGTGGAGGAACATAGGCCTCTCACCAGCGTTCTCCATCCAACTCTGTCCTGAGCCTTCCTTTCCAGTTCTTTCCAGTTGCTATTCATCCCTTTCATATCTGCTTCTATTTCTCGGCGTAATGTGTCCTTTAGTCTTCCTCTTTTCCGCTTCCCTTCCGGATTCCAAGTTAGGGATTCAGTCGTGATGCACATTGATGATTTCCTTAATGTATGTCCTATCCACTTCAAACGTCTTTTCCTAATTTCCTCTTCAGCTGGAAGCTGGTTTATCCTCTCCCATAAAACGCTGTTGCTGATAGTATCTGGTCAATGTATGTTGAGTATTTTGTGTAGAAAACTGTTTATAAATACTTGTACCTTCCTGAAGATGGTCGTAGTAGTTGTCCACGTTTCAGTTCCATACAGTAGGACTGTCTTGACGTTCGTATTAAAGATTCTGACCTTGAAATTGGTTGAGAGTTGTTTTGAGTTCCATATGTTCTTCAATTGTAGAAATGCTGCCCTTGCTTTGCCAATCCTCGCCTTTACATCTGAATCCGATCCTCCTTGTTTATCATTGATGCTTCCCAGGTACTTGAATGTTTCCACCTCTTCCAGAGTTTCTTCATCAAGTGTGATTGGGTTAATGTTCTCCGTGTTGCATTTGCTTTTTCCTTTGTGAATGTGGAAGCCTATCGATGCGGAGGCTTCTGCTACATTTGCTGTCTTCAACTGCATTTTTTCATGTGTATGAAAGAGGATGGCTAGGTCATCTGCGAAGTCCAAATCATCTAATTGATATGATAACCATATAGTAAACAGTTATTTTTATATAGCTGAAATCATGAGTCACTTGATGCTAGACTACCATCATGGAAAACCTGGAAGCATTTGGCGGCCATTTCGTCTTATCATGGGACTCCTCAATGGTAGTGCACATTCACGATTTCACTTCAATTGATTCATGATCTCAATTGTTGAAATAATCATTTATCCTCCTAAATTTTTTTTCTTTTGTTTAAACACTTTTATATATAAATGACCTTAAACTTGTCAAATACTGACTTGACTTTGTTCATATGGTATTTTATAAATGTTATTCAATTGATTTGTTTGTTTGAAAACAACCGTTAACATTTAAAATGGCATGTTCCCTACAGTAACCTTAAAACAACAACAACAAAAAGGGGGGGGAAAGGGTTCAATTTTGATCTTTTTGAAATGACATGACAAGGTATTAGATTAAAGTATAAATGTATGAAATCATTGAAAGATGGTTGAAAATTAT